CCCCCCCCCCATCATGTGATTGTGATCTGTTTGGCATCCTGTTTGCACTTATGACTGGTTGCCAAGTGCCCCACAATCACGTGATCACCATTTTCAACCTTCCCTGCTGACTTCCCCAGAAAGTCAATAGGGAAGCTGTCAGGGTGCCGCCTACCAAAGGATTTCTCTTCTCCAGAAATCTTTCACTGGGCTGCAAAAACAAAACTCAGTCTTCTGAAGCCCCTGCTTCATTTCTCCAGCCAAGTTCAGGAACTGCCTTCTGTGCACAGGGAGAAGAGGGATTCCTACACAGGCCTGGAGAAACGAATCAGGGACTGCAAAGGTTCAAAACTTTGTTTTTGTAGCCAAATGTAGGAGTTCTTTTCTATGCATGGATGGGAACTACTTGCCCTCCTTGGGCAGATAGCATCTTCGTTCTATCTGCTTAACGGCCAGCACAACCACTAGGGACGACAACTGGGAGAGCTGGGATTGTGGTTGTTGAGCAAAGCAATCAGACGGGTGTCTCACTTAACAATTGCCTTACTCAGTGACCAAGATTCCAATCCCAATTGTAGTTGTAAACCGAAGATTTCTCCTGTAAACATCAATCTGGCAATGCAATACGAAGAAGCAAACTGGCATCTTAAGTATATTTTTGTACACTTGACCACTTCTGAGTTGTGGAGTACAACCAATAACATGTTCGCTTACTGAATAGTCCCTAGATTAGAGAACCTGCTTTATCCAGAATAGTGCAAACACACTTGAAGTAAAACTTGGGTTTGAATGTGAATGTGGCATCTATATACTGTACATTGCTATTCAGCTGTGTAAGATAGTTGTACTTTTTTGTAATGCTTAAATATTACTTGATTGAGAGTATTAATCCCATTTTGAGTCCCTGCCACTAATAATTATCTCCCTGCCACTAATAAATCTTTCCAGCTCTTTTTAAATTGAGACTTTTCTACGGTACCTGCTTGTCAGAAGAACAGGAATCAAATTTTAATTTCCTTCCCCATAGGCACTGCCTTTAGTGCTAAAAATCTAACCGAATTCCAGAGAAAAGAAAGTCTTACTCTTCGTTGTACAGAGTTATTAGTTATTAAACTGGCTTTATATCATTTTGAATTTTTCTTCTTTCCATTGTATTCTATTTGCACAAACATTTTTATAACGTGTAAAGTAGAAGGCTGCCACCGAAAACACTCATCCTGAAACTGGGGAAAAAATACCTTACCATAGGCAGACATTGCCACAGATGAGAGCAACTGCATTGTTCCAGCCATAAACCGCAACCGGAAAATTAAAGGCTGTGATGATGCCAACTAATCCCAAAGGGTTCCATTGTTCTATTAAGGCATGTCCAGGTCCTGAAAGCAAAAACAGCAGTTTCGTTTGGCAAGCACAGGCTTTTCTTTCTTTTTTACTTATCTATCCCATTGTCCATGGAGATCAGGGACATATATAAAAAGTATCCCCACTTATTGTTACAACAGCTCTTCTATTGTTAGAGAGAGTTACTAAAATTGGCCCTAGCTCAAGCAGCATGTTTATCTAAGTTATTCATCACAGAGAAATAACCCTAGGATCAAACGTTCCAAAGAAAGTCTCAATTCAATAGACAGGCCAAACCCATTTGAATTTAAAATATAGTTTTCAAACATGGCATTACATCTTTTTATGGCACATCCATTCTCAAGGTTGAACTTTCTTCCCAAATAAACATAAAGATAATCCTCAAGTTATGACCATTGTTCATGACTGTTCAAAATTACAACAGCACTTGAACAAAGGGACTTGTGACTGGTCCTCAAATTTCCAGCTGTTGCAGCACCACAGCATACACCTAAACAAAATTCAAGTGCTTGGCAACCAGCTCGCACTTATTGGTTGTAGCATCCCACAATCATGTGATCGCCTTCTGCAACCCTCCCTGCCAGTTTCCCACAAGCAAAATCAATAGGAAAAATGGCAAGGAAGGGCCCAAGACTCTTGGATAAGTCTCTTCCACTCTAGCCTTTGTTCGCTTGCATGCACTGTGCCCTCCTTTCCTTCTTCACTCATATGTACCCTACAGCCTCTTTCCTCAGCTTACCTGGGGGTCGCAGACATGCACCTTGCTCCTTCTTTTTCTAGTCTCCCTGTGCTTGTACACACCCCACAACCTCTTTCGGCAGCCTGCAATCACACACAACCTACACCATTGGTTGCCAACCAGTGGGCTGGGGACCACTGGTAGTCCATGAGAAAATTTTGGTTCTCCACAGAGAACTGTCACCTCCAAAGCACTCCCCAAAGCAATTATCCAGGATGCGCAGGAATATAAGGCTGCGCTGCCCACATGGCCCACGGGAACACAAGGCTTGTGTCACTTGCGTTTTGAACAAAAAGAGGTAATGAGGGAAGGGGGAAAAGGGCGGGGGGGGACTTGTCCCACTCGCCCTACATGCCTGGCCTGGCTGCTTCTTTCTTCTTCTGCTTTTGGCTGCATGCAAGGAAAGCAGCAAAAGTCTTTCTTTCTCTCCCCCAAACTCTGCCAGAAATGAGTCTTTGGGACCCTGCAAGGCATCCTGCTCCAAGAGGCTGTGCTGGCGCGACAAGTCTCACAAAGACACATTTCTGGCGGAATTGGGGGGAGAGAAAGAAAGACTCCTGCTGCTTTCCTTGCATGAAGCCAAAAGTCGTCCCCCCCACCCCCCCCGAGAACAGAGCTGGAGACGGTATCCTGCAATCCCAAATAATGATCGGTTGGTAGGAAAACGGGGTGGGGAATTTTCCTGCAGACTTTTTGGGGGATTTTCCTAGGGTCTCTGGTCTGCAGGATTTAAAATTATGAGTTTGGTGATCCCTGAGATTCAAAAGGTTGGCAATCCCTGACCTATACTATCTTACCCTATCCCTCCTACACTTGAAGTCATTGTCGCACACATCCTGCACCTGAGCCGGGCTTCGTCACTTCCCTGGAACAGCCCCACTCTTTAAGTCGGACTTTATCACTTCCTACTTAATGACCCATACATCTGGGATTATGACAACTACCGGAATTGCTAAGTGACACAGTCACACGACATCACATTTTATTCATGCAATTCCAGTCCCAACTGTAGTCATAAGTCAAAGATTACAAGCATTTAGAGATATATACAATCTCACTGAAGATTTTCACTGGTACAACAGTTATTTTTTCCCCTTGTTTTCCCTCTCTCTCTCGAGCAGATTGATGGAGAGGGATGAATATTTATATAGAGGCAGAAACTATTGTGCCATTTGTATTTCCTGGAGAAAATCCATAAATTATATATTTTGACCAGGTTTATGGAAAGCTGATATAATGTCTGGTTGGGACAAATAAGTATTTTGGCTTTTCTGAAGCATATAAACCTAAAATATTACCTATGTCAAAAATCATTTATTATTCTCTTACTGAGATTTTCTATATCAAGTTACTTTAATAATATTCAGAATAAATTCTTATGCAGGCAAAAATGCAGGCTTACTTTCTGAAGGCAGCATGGGTCCACCAAACATCCGAGATAAACCAACAGCATAATCACAGATATCTACATATTCCTGGACTTCACCAACACCTTCAACAAAAATCTTCCCCATTTCTAATGATACCTAAAGGCATTAAGGAAAGCATTAATCTCATGGAACATGACTGCTTACAGTTTCCTTAGATCCTCCCTATAGAACACTGCTAGAATAGCTTAAAGGAAGAAATCTTTTTCTATTTGTATAATTACATTATGTATGCAACCAATCGACTGCTCATGCTGCTGTGATTGTCAGCTGTAAATGGAAATACTAATATAATGGAATTGTTTGGATTCATCTAATGAGTTCTGGAATCTATAAAAACCTAGTTCTTGTGCTCTGTAATGAACAACTCGAGAATGAACTAAGCACAAGAATTACTGTTGCAATAATTAAATAGTATTTTTTGTGAACAAAACACAGGCACCAATGCCTTTTTTATCACCTTGTCCTACAAGACAAGACAGAAATGTAAAAAAAAACCCTGTTTGGACTGATTAATAGGTAGGTTGGTAATGAATGCTGACTGCTAGCTGCTACTCAACCAACAACAGAAATTTGGAATGATTTTTTTGGGGGGGTGGGGGTGGGGCGGGGAATCCCATACCTCACAAGAAATGACATGTTTGAATTATTTTAAATCCCTATTTTCACATTTTTATTCTATCATAAAGCCATTTAACGAAGTCCAATGAAATATTTCAAGCTGTTTTGTTTGGAATTCAAAACATACCTCCTTTTTTGGTATATTTCTAGCACTTACTGTCTTCAACTTGAATCAATGCTTGCTTAAAAAAATCACATTTGTTGTCATATTAGTGCAATGGCTGAGAAATGTTTAGAAATCTAATTGATTATATTAGCAATGCACACCAGAAGCAACAAACAGGAATTATTGTCTGCATTTCTTTTTACTAATTTAGGGATTATATCAATCCAATGGCAAAACTTACCAAATTTCCCAAAATTTTGATTTTGTCTCTTAAGGCATCTCCAATCTGTCTCACTATTTCTCCTCGTTTAGGTGCAGGAACCTATAAAAAGAAAGCAAAGAAAAATTATTTGCTTAAATCCAGTCTTTCAGAATCCTGCATACTTTGCCTAACTCATACAATGTATATTTCTGGACATAAAATTGTGGGGTTTTTTTAACCACTATGAGTAGCGAACAAAGCCTACATTGGACTGGTAATACAAGCAAAACTATAGAAGTTGCTGCAGTGAAAATTAAAATATTCAATGACATAAATTAGGAAAAATGGAAGAAAAAACCTGTCTATTTAGTTATACTTTTTACAATTTTTACCACTGAAGGTAATCCTCAATTTACAGCCATTTGTTGAAAAGCTGGGAAGTTCTATGAAATATACTTGAACTTATTCTCAAATGAATCAATAGGATCAGATTTTAAAACCATCTAGGAAAAAAATACTAGTTGACAAAAGAAATTCAAATGATTCCTCTTTCTATAGAAATTTGTGTCGGCTGATAGATTACATATCATGTCTACAATTTAAAAATATGAACATCTGAACAAGATCTGAAAAAATACAGACTTTAGAGTCCCTACCAAACCATCCCAAGCATTCAAGATTTAGCCACTGAATTTAATTCGAATATGATCCCAAGGATATGGTTAGTGTTTTTTATACTTGGCACCTTTGCTGGCTGGAGAATTCTGGGAGTTAAAGTCCACAAATCTTAAAAGTTGCCAAGTTTGAACACTGAATTAGAGCATTTCTAAATACATTTCAGGTAAAACTTCAAATTGTTGTTTTTAATTTTGTTTATTTCAAAAATGGATTAGGCACTTTCCAGGATAAATCTCTCCTGTTGGGCTTAGGGATCATACCCACTGAAAAATAATTTCTCCCCAGATACAATTCGGGAAAATATAAAGAGATTTAACTCACCTCTGCCCATATTTGCCAAGCTTCTTTAGCTTTCTTTATTGTTTCTTCATAGTCTTCCAAATTTGCCTAAAACCAAGCAGTAAAAAATGCTGCAGTGGACAAAGTGATAACACAAGACACAGCTTGTCATAAGTCAATGGAGAATTGGAAACTAAACAGACATGTTCATTAAGTCATCCATAATCAAGTTCAGTTTTGGGATTTTATCATTAAAAAAAACCCGATTACCCCTATTTCTAAAGAAAATCTCCAACCATTTGGGGGCGGGGGTGGGAGGTAAACTATAATATTTTCTACTTGCATTGCTTTTAGCTCATCTGCATTTCTTATTCATCTCCTGAATTTCTTAACATTCCAGCCTTGAAATCTGCTTATTTTTTCCCTGAATAGTGCATTTTATTAAAGAGTCAAATATATATATTTAAAAAAATCTTACCTGGCGAACTTTAGCTATGGGCTGATTATTTGCAGGACAGTATGTTGTCACAACCTAAAGAAAAAACCATTTCAGTCCCATTTAGTAACCATCCCTATAATCATAAACCTCATGGTCAAAAGCTGGCATAATTTGTGGCATTGGCTGGATCCAAATCAATAGTGCAGTTTTTATGCCAAGTCACATTGCAGGAACAGATAAAATCAGAATGAGTTCAAGCAAAAGGCAAAAGGTCAGGAATCAACTCATACAAGTAGTTGAATGCTAAATGTGGAAGAAGAAAAAATAACAGCAAGACATGTTGGTGATTTTCAAAGACCTGAAATGCAGAATTGCCTTTGTACTTCCATTGGAAAGCTCAGATCCAAAAGAAAAAAATGCAAGGAAAATAAGTTTCAACCGTATATGAATTGGAAAAGCACCAGCTTTATTATAACGCTCAGATGATAGCTGGAGGCAGTAGGCTTTCCTTCATTGGAAGCTCTTAAACCGGCAGGATACTGTAACACATCCCACCCTGCAGATCATGAGCAGGTAACTAAGAAGAATCGGATTGCTTCTAAGCCTCCCTGAGTTCTGTGACAGTCTTCCTGGTCATCTTATCTTTGGAATTTACTAATCAGCCCCATGCCACCTATTATGTTAGTCTCAGTTGCTTGACTGCAAAATGACAGTGCTTATGCCCTGGAAATACAATTACTAAATTTCACAACAGCTTTGGCTACATCGATTAGGGTTTCCAGGACATGAAACCCCAATACCTGTTAGGTCCCCAGCTCCTGGGAGTGCACTTTTGACTCAACCTGATTATTAAAGTCAAGTGTGATGCAGAACTATTATAACGAGGATAAGTCAGAAAAGTACACTGTCTGCAATGTTTTAGGTCTATCTGCTGATGAAAGTCACAAAAGAGGGACTCGTCTCTTTCTGCCCATTCTAATATGGGCTGCAACATAAGGGGGGAAAAAACCATGAGAAATTCAAAACCGCAGACGCGAGGCACGTCTCAAAGAACTGGAGAAACAACTTCAAAAAGCGCCCGCAGGACATTCCTCCTTAAGTTTTACGCTGTCCGTCAAACGGGCTCCCACCCCGCCTTGCTAGCCTACCTCTCCTCTTCCTCCCCAGGAGCCATTGTAAACTCCCTCGTTTTCTTCTCGAAGCCCCAATTCTTTCAGCCACGCGTACTGGGCTTGGTTGATCAGCAAGGTCGACATGAAGGCGGCCGGTCTATTGCAAGAAGCGGGGAAGGAGACGCTCTTCCTTAGCAGAGCACGCCTGGCGAGCACCGAAAGTCCAACTTGCAGCAGCATAGCGAGAGAAAGGCCGTAGCACCTTTAAATCACCCATAGGCCAAACAGGCGTCAGTCAAGAGTCCACCCCCAAAGGCAGAGCCCGGATTGGCGAAGGCAAAACGCTCAGTCCACCGTTGCCTGGCGGATCAAATAAGGCACGCCTCCATCTAGCGTCGACGGATAGCGTCTGCAGTTTGGGGCGCTCCGGCTTTCTGCCTGTCTCGCGCACCTTAAAGGCAAAGGCGCCAAGAAACTAAAGTTTATCCAATGGCTGCAGAAGTGAAACGCATTTTCACACCTGTCAAGAGCCACCTGTAAAATGCCTCTGCTTTGTAGGTGCGGTTTACGGTCAGCAGCACTTAAGCGTTTTCCCTGTCGGAATTTCTTTTTATGAAGTTTGCGTATCTCACCTTGGGAAGAATCCAAGGCAATTAGCAACAGATACATCACGTGAAAGAATAAAACACTTTATTTTCGGTTTGCACCTGAAATATTGAATCGTTTTTAATAGCTTGGCATGCGTTGGAAAGCTTAGCGTGCAAAAATTAAAATGACCTCCAGAGGGTAGCAGAGGTCTACAAGAAATGCTGTTTTCTGATAGCCCAGCAGAACACTTGAATAGAATAGAATAGAATAGAATTCTTTATTGGCCAAGTGTGATTGGACACACAAGGAATTTGTCTTGGTGTAAATACTCTTCAGTATACATAAAAGAAAAGATACATTCGTCAGGAGTCGACAATCATAAGGTACTTGGCCAGGATAAACCCACAGTAACAGTAAAATGGCAATACTCGTCATTAATCCATACTTTTTTGTATTATATAGTATATTATGGAAGCATGAACCAAAGTACTGTATTAAAACCTATTTCACTGATTGGGAGTAGACATAATGAAGCTACCAGCCCTGATTTTTAAATATAAGTTTATTCTCTTTTAAGTACAAATATTCCCCTACGTAATTTAAATTAGCTACGTCATAGCTTTCTTTGTTGTAACTACCAGCAGACACTTAACTAGAAAGGGATGTCTGCTTTGCATTATTAATTAAATAGCATACCTGCCTCTTGAGCCATTCTTTCGCTTAGTTTCACTAATCTTTAGATCCAGTTTTATTCCTTTAAAGATCATTTACTTCCAAGATTAAGCATGCAAGTTGACTCTATATGAGGATCAGGTAATGGCCACCCCCAAACCAATGACTCTTGGTCTACAAGTACACGACCCAACAATGTGTAGGTAGACATCTGAGAAAATAAGACACGTCGTGATTACAGCTTTAATATACAATGGATGTCATGATTACAGCTTTAATATACAATGAATTACGGCCCCTTCTTTCTCGTATCCTGAGAAATCCCAGTTTTAGATTTTTCAGCATAAAATACAGGTCCGAAAAGACCAACGCGGGAAATCTCTCAATACAGTTAACGGAAGTACATTCTCGGGTAGGAAAAAAATTAAAAGACTACAATTCCCACGAATGTTCGAGAAGGAAATGCTCATTGTCCCGCCTTTTTTTTCCCCCTCAGAGCAAGGCATTGTGGTTTCTGTAGTTTTTCTGGTCTTAAGGCCAACACTGGTCCCTTCGCAGTTTCTGGTCTAATTGAGAGAGGAAAGATGGCGTCGGAAGCTCCAAGAATGGAGCAGGATGTCGAGGATGGGGAGTTTTCGGGCTCGGACTGCGAAATGCCGGTCTCGGCTCCTTCCAGAAGTCCTCAACAGGTCTGGCAAACTCTTACCAGTTCTTCCTGTGGGCTGAAGTCTTAGGAGGTCAGCCGGTGTTTTCTCCACAGAGGAAAACCGGCGAGCTTTGTAAAGCGTAGGACGGTGAGGTTTGCATTTTGGGAGGAAGCTTGCAATCCGAGTCTTCCCGCTCTTATTTTGGCACAATCTCATTGGAATGAATGTCTAGGCTTCTTTGAACCGCGGTGAGATCCGGTTCCTACCCGCCAAAGCAATAAGTTGTTGCTCTTAGTGCATTGGTTTCTCCCGAGGTCCTGCATTGTAAGCGACTTTTCAGTGTACCGAACAGAAAAAAAATCATTTTAGCAGAACCTAATATCGAGTCATAAGATTTCAGATGATTATTTGGATAATTCCCTGGATATTTGGGCCAGTAATAGGACAGAGTGTTTTCTCTGGAGATTGCAGTCAGCAGAACCTGTTTCAGGATCTATTTTGAAGAGAAAGACGTGGTTTTTCTCTAGTTTTTCCCCAACGTTGCTGTTAATTTTCAAATTGTAGAAAGATGCTATGCTTTGTCTCATTTAAATATTCATATTAGGAAAATGAATTTATTTCTGCTGAGATCTTTCACTTTCGTCTCTGCTCTTTCACTTGGCATCTTTGCTGACACATTTGGATATCCTTCTGGAAACATTCTGTGAGAGCAGTTTCTGGGGTTTTTTTTTAATAAAAGACAGATTTTTGCCAACTCCTTCTGGTCTTTTTCATTATGGAAACAGAACTTCCTTTTAATTTGTTTTTAAGCATTTTATGACTTAATTTTTATTCCAGATCCAGCTATCTACTGATTATGCTCCTTTTCTGACAATTTGGGGTGGGGTGGGGGTTCTTTAAACAGCACAGTGACTCAGTCTGCATTAACATATCCGAATATGCTTCTGAAGAGACAATTTGACCTCCAATTTTAGCCTATTAAATGTGGAAAAAAATAGTGGTACATGATACATGAGTTCATAGCACATGAGTTCAGACTAATTCGCTTAAAAATATTCCCACAAATGTCTGCTGTGGACCCATTGTGTCAGATATAGAATCAGCAAATTTTACTTTCTACCCTTGTGGACTTCATAGTTAAATGACATTTAGATGGGGTATTAGTGAGATTATATAAAGTCAGAGTGAAATATCACTCAAACATAAGATTTTATATATAACAAAGTACTGCTGACTCTGAGGTATACACAGGACATGCTACTTGCAACAGTTCTAGCACCCTGCAACCTTAGTAGGATGTTTAATTCATTGTTTCAATTGTTTATGTACCGCATCAGAATTGTTCAGATAAAGACAGCCTCTAACAATAATGTAACTAAAAGAAATGTCCTACTGTAAGCTATTTTACGGATGATATATAAGTTCAGTATTGATTACTCAGCTAATTCATCTTCTAAAAGTTCTTGGTCAGGTTGGCTCTTTCTTCCATAATTGGTGGCAATGTAGTAAGCATTTCATCAGCAGTTTGATGAAATGATTTAAATCAGAGTAAAGCAAATTCTAGAGGTTGAATTCCTTTTCCAGTGTGGCATCTTTCTTTTAAATATTGCTAACCTCATTGTTCCAGCACTAAACTAGCTTTGTGCATGTAACAGCTGCTAGGATATTCTGCTTTGCACTAGAAAGTGTGTACAATTCCTTCAGTAGATGAATTATAAATTAATTTGTGGGAGTATGTCTTAAAATGTCTAAAGTAACCCATATTTGAAAAATCAAGTTGACATAATTTAACACAGAAATCAATTTCTGAACTGTAGTTCTGTTTGTGGGCTTATATCACATCCAAAATGTGAGTTTCTCTGAACATAAAGTTTTTAAATTTAAGTCAAAAATAGTTTGTTAAATAAGAATGTATTTCTTGCTAACTAAATAAGAATATTTTTTCAAAAAATCATATTTTGTTGATGAGTATGATTGATACGCATACTTACCTTGATTTTAATGATACATCATTTTAAAATATTTTAGTATCCAGTAATTTGTACTTAATCTTACAATGCTTTTAAATCTGTGTTTATTTTCTTTGTGCTTTTTGTTTTTGTTTCTGCTTTTTTCCCTTTTAAACTGTTCGGACTCTTTTTTTTTTTAAAGAAGAAAGAATAACTCTATAGAGTGAAATAGAAGAGTACTTCTATTTCCTCATATTTCGTGATTGAAATGTAAACCTGTCCAATTTTTTAAAGGGTGAATTGCCTTCAGAAGAGGAGTAGCAATGCTTCTGTGGTACCAGCAGCATCTGCAGACAGGAAAGATCAAAAGGGATGGCAGAAGAAGTATTGCAAGCCCAATTCTTTCGTTTATATATTTTATGTTGGTGCCTGTACAAAAGGGGTTGGGCTCACATTGTGATGCCAGTATCATTTCTGTCATCTTGCCTTTTTGACCTTCTCTGCAGATGTCATTGCCATGTATCAAGATGTAATTTCAGAGTTCTGTAAAGTTCTTAAGCAACTTTCCCATTGAAGGGAACATACAAAGATCTAAAGCTTTCCTGCATAAGCCCTGGTTCACTTATTACTACATGGTTTCATGAAAATCTTCATCCAAATACAGATAGTCCTTGACTTACAGACGCTTGTTTAATGACCGTTCAAAGTTACAGTGTCATTAAAAAAGTGACTTATGACCAGTTCTCACACTTATGACTGTTGCAGCATCCCCCAGTCACTTGATCAAAATTTGGATCTTGCCAACCAGCATATATTTACAATGGTTGCAGCATGCTGGTGTCCTGGGATTGTCATTGTCTTACAAGCTTCTGACAAGCAAAGTCAATGGGGAAACAAGATTAGCTTAATGACCACGTGATTTACTTAACAACTGTAGTGATTCACTTAATAAATATGACAAAAAGTCAAAAATGGGTCATGACTCACTTAACTGACTTGCTTAGCAACGGATATTGTGGTTTCAGTTGTCAGGTGATCTGCAACTCCCATATTTCTCAGAAAGCTGTTTATGACCATTCAGGTTGTCTGTCCAACTAAACTTTTCATGTGGAAGATACAAGGTTGCATCCTGGAATTTCAATTATCAGTAGCAATGATATAATTTAAATATTTGTATAATGGCAAAGAAACTTGTGTCCAATACATCAGAAAAACACTAAAATCTGTGAATTTCAGTAATGCTTATTTTTCTCCCTTCATGAAATATCCTCAAGATAAAACTAACCTAAGTAGAACATGCTTGAGTTAAGAACTATTAAAGAACTAGCTAAGAACTATTAGTAGCAATGTAAATATTAGTCATAATAACTGTTGTAAATAGAACGGTCAGTATACCCTGTATGTCAGTATAGTCTCTATCCATCTGAAGAATACATGATGACTGCTGTAA